ATGACAGTAATCTGTGAACCAGCAGTAAATCATTGCCAGGGCTTCAGTACCGTATCTTCAGCACCTCATAAACTGTGCTGCTGTACGCGTCCAAGGCCACACCATCATTATCCCATCTTTAATATTTTTGTTTAATAAGAAAACTGAAGACAAGAAATGTTCTCAAAAAGAAAATAGATAATCAATTATTTTAAGTTTAGGGTTTTTATATAGTCATTTTGTTTTGTACTATTAATTCTGAATATGCAAATAGAACAAGGCTTCCCGACCACCATCAATAAATTCTAAAACCAAAACAACAAAAATGAAGCTGAGGAAGTAAAACAATGAATCACAGAAAAGAAAATAAACTACATATTCAAAGCAGAGTAAGAAGAAGCATAGCTTATCACATATTAATGACTGCAATTTTATACAGATTTTATGCAGAGCTACTGTACTGCTTTTAATTGTCAGACGTTGTAAGCACAGGAATTATCATTCAGTCTAGTCACCAAGCACTCATTTGTTGAACTGATGAGACAACCTACGACTGAGTGCAGTCTGTGGATAATGTTCTATAATATAACTTGTTATGATGATAAAATGATGCACTGAAATACAATTTTGTAATAATATTGAAGAAAAGCAGAATTGGCCAAAATTGAGATCTTTGCATCTCTATCTCCCTCTCATTGTTTCTACACTGCCAACTAAGAAAAACCTGGACTGAGTTGCTCCACTGTGTGCACAGTGGCTGTGTTGGAGAGTTCACCACTGGGTGCAGGTTAGAATGTCAGAGGCCCTGGCTTTGATGTGAACAAGAAAGACACTGAGCAAAGATTGAACAACATGCCAAGTCAATCTTCTTATGATGTGGATTGTAACCTCTGCAGAACTAGGATGGAGTATGCCAAAACTAACACAACAATCTATAACTCTATATCTATAAGAGGAAGTCTCTGTCAAACTTCAGATTTTATAAAACGTTTTAGATCTAAACATTAGGACTACAACATCAATTGCTGATAAAACATCTTTACAGCCTCATGTTCTTATATACACAGTCTATGGTATCTTCAAACTGGATTAAGGATGTACTCTCCTGCTTTGGGCCACTGAGGCCTGTGTCCTGTAGATTTTAAATGTGGACTAAACAAATGTTGCGGGAGCAGATGAGGACTAAACATGGGAAAGTAAAAGATGAAAGCAGTCAGAATGGCAGGACTTACACAGTGGGAAAAGATTATAGAGTTACATAACAAAGTGGAGGGGTGCTGTGGTCTGGAAAGTCAGGTGGCACAACAAAAGGAAAAGAATTACTGCAGACAAGTGGAAATCACAGCAGTTTGGTATTAAAATATAAAACTTGTTCTAGGGTGAAAACGTGACTTGGACATCAGCAGGTTGAACTGACGCAGTTTCACCGCTGCAACAGGTGGCATCAAACACACAGATAGCCGCATACACGCAAACAAACACTGTGATTGAGACAAACAAGCTCTTAAGTTCACCTCTTTACTTCTAAGCTTAAAGCATAATGTTAGTCTAGGTCACTTCACTTCGCTACTCATTGTCAGTTATCTAGTTTTAAAGTGTAGTTTTTAGGTTTAACGGTCGTTGACGCTCGCCGCAGTTGTAACAGAAAACTCTGACCATTTACAATGAAAACTGCGGCTGCTGAGTTCGTTAGTAAAGTTTGTCTCCTACTCACCGGCGATGCTTCTCTTTCTTTTCCCCTTCGTATATGCTAGTGTATTCAAATCTTCTTTGCGACAACAAAATTAAAAAAAAAAAAGTTGGGATAAACTCTTGGGCAAAGAGATATATATAATTAACCGTTGTCTAACTTGTTGCGGTTCAGTGTTTGGTGAAACGCAGACAGAATGGCTGTAAGGAGGACGTCCGAGCCTGCGGGCTGCCCCGCCTACTGAATCAAGCGCACACTCACAGCCGCCCACCCACTGAAGAGGAGTCTGTCCACTCAAAAGTACGGTTCACCCTAAAACACAGTTTAACCTACAAAAAGGTCAGCAACACAGTTGTTGGTGTTTAAAGTGGGGTTCTGTAAAAATAGACAATACAGGAGAAACACGGGATGATAATTCATAGTTATAAAAGCATCAAACTTTAACTCTAGACTTTAAAACATAACCGATCACGACAGTAGAGAATGTGTCATGAATATTACTCACGTTTATTTTTGTAAATATCCCTCTCTTAAATAAATAAATGTTTTGTAAAATAAATACAATTATAATTTCTAGAAAAGAAAAAACAGAAATGAAAGAGAATGAGAAAGAAGGAGAATAAAGGAAGATATGATTTATATACTTTTGTCATCGAAAAATACTTTTATTTGATGCTACTAGTCAAAGGTATCGTTTATTATAACGGCATTTTAAAATACACTTTACTTACTTACTTTTACTTACTTAATCTTTTGCAGAAAAGTTGAAGGATATTGATAATAAAATATAACATTTCAGCGATAATAAGTCTAAGAGAAAATAGTGATAAAAGATGTTTGTTAATTCAACTAAATTTTATAACGCCAAACAACATGTTTGACAAAGTCGTGAAAGTGTATACTTTATTTAACAATATAACAATTAGAAGAGAAAGAAGCTGTCGAAGCACAGAAAAAGTCGGTCCGGTCTTTATTGTGAGGAAATAGTGAGTGTTTTCTAGTCCGATATTCAATGACCTTAATTGTCTGCACTTTCTTATGTGCACGTCTTTTAAAACCGATAGCGTCATCTAGTGGAGGAAGTGCAGGGGAGTAAAAAAAACTTCCCATATGCAAAACATCAACAGTATCAGGGTGTGTGTGTGTACGTGTGTGTGTGTGTTTGCGAACGACACACTTTATAAATAAACAAATGACCAATACCAAGGGTGTGGCAGAAAAAACAAATAGTTTCCAAAAAGAAAGCTTAATAAAACCTAAAATATAGAAGAAAAAAGGTAAACGTTTGCAAGAAATGTTTAGCACATATTTCAAACTGAAAGTTCAAATGTTATCTTTTGTTTTATATTTAATTGTGACAGCAGGTTTGCAAAGAGCTGCTCTTAAGACAGAGCTGCTCCCAAGGGGGGCTAAAGGGGCATTGCTAGCTATCACACTGTCCCACTTTCTTTCATTCATTCCCCCAACTTGTTTTATATATTGTCTTCTTGTAATGATGGAAATATGATGTAACACTGTAACCAGGAGATGGAACATTTTGGTGGGCCACACTCAGATTTTCACTGGCCACATCTGGCCGCCTCTATGAAAAACATCCGAGGATGCCACTGTCAAAGTCCATGAAGTACACAGAATCCATTTGGTCTGCACTTTGTGGACAGAGACGCGACAAAACAGCCTTTAATCTGAGCACTGTGCCACTGTTTTGGGTTACAGCAGCACACAATGAGAGCTGTGTTCTGTGCTGAGGCTACACAGCTGGGATTTCTGAGCATGCTCAGTACACGGCTCAGTAAACCACTCAGTGCGCAGCTTCTTTTTATTCTGCAGCGATAAGGAACAAGCAGAGGAAAACAGAAATCAACTTCTACAGTACATATTCATACTCATTATGTATAAGATTCCAAAAACCATCTGAAATAAAACAGTTCTCATTCACCTGCCGACTTCCAAAAGTTTGTGTTAGTTAGTCACTGTTACTGGTCAACCTGCTCTACTGACCTACAGTTCAGTGTCTGTGAGCTGCGGTTTGTGAACTCCTTTATAATCAGTTGTTAGGTCAACCAAAACTTCATTGTTCTGTGTTGTTAATAACCTGTACTGTAGCTAAAAATCATCCAAAAAGACAGCCTAAAGCTAGCTAGATTCCTGACCAAGGTCATTGCAAGCCACTACTGCTCACGATCAAACATTTGGTTGATGCTCCTTTAATACCTCCTTTAACAGAACCTTCATCATTTAAATTATATATAGTAAAATGCCAAAAATTAGGCAGGTGAAATAAGAAGCTGAAGACATGAAGCATGTTTACCCCAGCGTGCTTCCTGAACATATCAGCAGAGAAGAGAATGATGTCTGACTGTTTGGAGCAGAAGGAGCAGAAGGCTTTGGTTGAGCTTCAAGGACACCAGCCAAAGCCTTTCTGTCAGTTGGCGCAGCAGCCATGACAGGAAGTCAGCCTTCAGACTTGGTGGTCCAACTCCCACAGAACACATGCACACCCACCACCAATGTGAGCCCAGTGTACTCACATCTTATCTGACTTTACTGCAGGGAATTCTGGAAAATGACAGTGAGTTTCACTCAGCTCACCACAGACAGAAGCAGTGCTCAGCAGTTTTCCGCCCAGTGTCACCTCGGACAGAAAACTGGACTGGGATCAGAACTTTCAGGATGCGATGAGAGCTTTCATGCTCCCATCTGCAGGAGTATAATTTTGTGCAGATGTTTGAGGCTCAGGATTTACGGCACAACAGTCAATTCGATTTGAAGTAGCATTTTTACAACCCTTTTGGGATTGATTAGGCAGACCTTAGCTGGCAGAGAGTCGTGACAACCAAAATGGAATTGTTCAAACCCCATCTCCAGAGTGCTGCTGCACTTCATGACAGTTGTGTTATCTCTAGATCTTTGATAACAGAGTGACGTTTACATAAAGCATTTTTCTCTAAAACAAAGTAAGAGAGAAGCACCTGAGGCTGACAGAGGAGGACAGTAACCCAGAGTTTTAGGATGTTTGTTTCTACTTAAGCATACCTGTGTGAGGTAACGTCACTGATCTGTCTCCTCGTTTGACTGCAGAAAATGGACTACCTTACTATTGGGAATGTAAGTTAAATAAAAGATAAACGCACCATTTTCAAAACTAGTTACAAAATAAAATCCACCATGTGATGTTCTTAAACCAAAGTGGTTCAAAAAATGCTTAAGGGAATAAACTCTGTCCTTTTTTTACTGCTTCAATAATATGAAATAAAAGCTTATTTGAATAAAGCACCTGCAGTTACAGATACAAATAGGTTGAAGGTGTGAAAAAATGCACGCACAGCAGTTTTATAAAAAGATGGCACATTTATTGCAACATAAATGTTATATACATTGTGTTTTCTGTTGAAAAAAGACATTATTCAAACTCCCCTTACTGCAGTTTTTTTTTCTTTTTTCCCCCATGTGCATCAACAACACATTTTCATTTGACACAAAGATCACAATCTTTTTATCAATCAATTAACAACAGAGACTGAAGAAAAAGATGGAGGTCACATCTTTAGGAGTTTTTTTCCTCCTCCATCAGCGGACCGGACAAGCAAAGAGTCAGGTTCTTGTTCTTGAGATGCTCTTTGTAAATTTCTGGTATAATGGAAAGGTTATGGTAAATAACCGACATTTTACTATCTAATATAGTAAAATAAAGTAAGAAACTTTTTACTCAAAACTTTTGCTTTCAAAAATCTAGAAAGAGTAATATTTATAATTCAAGAAATATTCTTACAGTATTGTTGTATAAAAGACTAACTACAGTGAAAAATAAGCCAAATGGTTTTTTTTTTCTTTTTGACTTTCTTTTTTTATATATATTTATATTTATGTATATATTATACAAGGGAAAGCATCTGGGATTACAGCAAAGTCTAACTTCGACAAACAGGAGCAAAAGAAGTAAAAGAAGGAAGAACAGGATATTTAAAACATAAAATAATGAAAAGGAAGCAGGAAAGGACATGGACATTAGACCCGCCAACAAAGTCTGTCAGTACTAATTTAGGCTTCGGAATACTGAAAGAACAAGACAATATTCAGTCAAAAGACATTTAAAAAAGCTCAGGTTCATGTCACAAAAAGAACCTGTTAAAACATATCGAGTCGTTAATGTAAACTCATGGCAGGGCCTCCGATTCTCTTCAGTTTTTATCCCGTTTTTTTCTCGCAGAATACTTATTTTGAAGGTGGCAGTCTGGTTGTAGGTTGGGATAATGATGATATACAAAGACATAAATGGAATATAAAGCTAGTCTTAAGACCAAAGACTCAATAAATGGAGAAATGTAAAACACGCAGAGAGAAGAGAAAAGAAAACAAAGCTGCAACCCATGTCTCCGAATATAAAAGTACAAACATAGCCTGAACTAAAACGAAAAGAAAAAACAAAAACAAACTTAGACTTAGTTTTCTCTGCAGTAAGAAACTGAGTGACATGTGATTATGTTGGAAATCTAAAGACAGGAGTTGTTACAACAGAAAAAAAGATTAATACATATTACTGAGAGTAAATGATACTGAACTATACTGAGAAGAGAAAGACGGAGAAAAAAGAGATAGTGGTATCTTCATCAGGCCAGGACGAGCTGTGGTCATCGTTGTCTTTATACTTATTTTAAACTGTTACTTCATGTCACTCTAAAAGATAGAACCAGCAAAAAAAGACACAAACAAACTAATAAAACAAACACAAACAAAAGCCACTTCTGTGCAGCCGACCTCAGGAGCTGGAAAACTGTTTGGGTTTTGTCAGGGTTCACATGTAACACTATATGGTGGAGGACCTGAAGGGCAGTGAAGTCCACTTTTCCTAGAGTTAAGACACTAAAATATGCAGGGAATGCTAAGTTTGGTGTTTTCTCTGCTCACTACTGTAAAAAAAAAAGAAAAATAATCTGAGAGCTTTCAGTAAAACTAGAGTTTGCCACTGTTCTGTCACCTACGTACTTAGTGGGGCCTTTTAATTCACACAAACTCATCTAAACTATTCAGTAACAAACAAAGTTTTGATTACAGTGGCAGAATTAATACATTAGAAAAATAAATAATATATCCTCTTTTAATTAAAATAAGAAAATTGGGTGCTTCAGTTTTTCAATCCTTAAAGCTAGGGGTAAATTCCAGTTGGGTTATAAATATCTGGCCAATAAATTATTCCTAATCTCTTAATTCATGTCAGTGCCCAATTTTTTCCCCATTATCCTGGCATCACCAGGGACTGGTCAGGATGGAGTGCTCCATTGTCACGGTGACACTGGCAAACTTTAAATCCACTGAAAAGCTGCACACTCCTTCTCTGGATTGCTGAACTTTCCCTTTAGACATTTGCTTCATAGTTCATCAACGCAATAAATAGTCAAACAAACAAACAAACAAAAACAAAACAACTGCTGTTACAATGCATTCGTCAATTTCAGTTTAGGCACGAAGCAGTGTCCACACATGGTTCGGGGATATTGCGAGTCTCTGATTGTTCAGGAGCGACGTGATTCTTGTGGACGGTGACATGTTCTGAGGAATCTTCTTACGATGGGACGTGTTTTTTATTCTAATCTAAACTGGTAGTAGGGAGCTGCAGGCTCCTCCTCAGTCTAGGACTGCCTTCTTCTTAGTCTTATGGATTTGCTTCAGGTGGTCTGTCTCCTCCAACTGGTGTCACCAACTGTGAGTCCGGTCTGTCACTGGGAAGAAGGTCACCCACTCAAACAGGACAGAAATGATCTGGATCGCCACGATCTGAGGAGACAGAATTAAAATGTCAGTATTGGTGGTGTTACAGGAGGGAAAGAAGGTGGATTTTTCAAAATGTTTCTCTACTTTTACCCCAAAACCATAGTTTTATGTACAAAATGCATTCTTTCACAGCTTAGTTTGGAAACACCTGTTTATATAAAAGAATCATTTCAGAAGCTAACTTTATACAAAAAATAATATTACAGAAGAAAAAAAGGCTAACGTATAAAAAGACCAAAACATCAAATGGTTCAGGTGAGACAAACCTGATACAAACACTCTTAAAGAATAGTTCACATTTTGTGGAAAAACGTGAAAAAGTACAGAGTAGTGAATGCTACAAATGGAAAACCACAACATTTTCCTAATAGTTCAATTCCTTGGAACTGTTACTTGTGTGATAACATATTTGCGTTATGATGTTACACCCCCGTTCCTTAATTTTGTTCAGAGTGTTAACAGCATGACGTGGAGCTAGAACATTTACAAAGCATGGACGCATTTAAAAAATGACGTGAAGTTCATCTGCAGCACATGCAGAACTCTGATAACAACAAACATTTAGCCACACGGCATGCAATTAATTAGCATCGATGTGCGGCGCTGATGACTCTCAGGGCAACGTTCTGTCTTAAATCTTCCCAGTAACGTTAATCTAATCCACGTCTGTATCTGTCAGTCTGAGCACCATTCAACGTTCATTCACAATATGGATAATGTCCACTTCTATGATTACAAAAAAATCACAGTTGTAATTTTATGTTTTATTCTATATTTTATTTGCTAACACAATCACAATAAATAAAAAAAAGAAATCAACAGGTGACATTAATTATTGAAGCACCAGGGTGACATTTCTGTTCTTATGTTTGAATTCAGATTGTCAGGAAATTAGAAATGTGTGCTTGACTGTAAATGGACGTATTCCAGGAAAAACAAAGGTAATTAAAACAGTGTCTGGTACCTGTCTACTCCTCAGAGGTGACCCATGGGGTTGGATGTGTCGGTCAGGCCTGGATGGACTCCTGTGTGACCTTGGTTGTCAGTGGAGCCTCCAGACACTTTCTCCTCCTCCCTCCTTTTAAGGCAGGCTGCTTTGGGATTTAGGTTTCTCTCTGTGGGTGCAGGAAATAACAAATCATTTAAAGTTTGTTGTTCTTAATGTGACAGTTAAATAACAGTTAGATCGATATACTCTAACATTCGGGTTCAAAGTAGTACTGATTGAATACTTTAGGATAAACTATGCAGCAGTCATCTCAGGTCTCATGTTCAACAGGACTGTAAGATGTTTTTATTTAAAACAACTGGATAATTTATTCATTTCATATGTCAATGCATCTGAAAACAGAAGAGCAATAACAGAGAAAATGTGGAGGTCATGTTTGTCAGATTGGATATGATATGGATATAAAACATAAATAAAGAAAACATGATTTAAACATGCAAAAAATGAACGCAGTAATTTGCAGTGATGAATCGTCTGCTGGCTGCTTCATTTACCTCTGACTTGCTGCTCCAGGTTCAGAATGACGGCGACCGCCTGATGGAGGATGAGCAGTTTTGTCTGAGGCTTCTCACTCTTCAGGTGCAGCTGACACATGCGACCCAGTTCTTTGAAGGCTTCGTTGATGTCTCGTACCCTCAGCCGCTCACGTGCGTTGTTGGCCATCCTCCTCTCTCGCTCGCGTTCTGCCTTCTGCTCTGGATTCAGATCTTCATCCTCAGTGATGCTGCGGAACAAAGAGAGACAAAAGACGACAAACACCTGCAGTCAAATCTGAGTCGAAATGTATTGTAATTAGTTTGATCGTAAACAAACGTATTCATTGCTTCGTTTGACATTCTGTACCTGGTTCGTTGGCCAGTTCTGGGCGTCCTGACGTCCCTCTTATCGGTCTCGTCGTCAGACCTGCCGTCTGTAGAGAGACTGTCGTGCATTTCATCTTTGTCCTGTTTCTCCACCTTCAGCTCCAGGTTGGGAGGCAGCTGACCAGCTGCAGTTGAAGAAAGACCTGAGGACAACAGTCGTACACAGGTCAGACATAAACCAGGGGTTTTGTTTTTATTGAAAATAGAAGTTGTATTTTATAACCGATTGACCAGCGTGTCATTTTCAACAGGAACATGATCCATTTTGATTACAGGCGACTCTGAATTAAATTAGTAACTGACTAGTAACCAATTATTGAGTCTATTCCATGCGATCTCACACGGTTGGAAACAGCAGGGAAATCAGACCTCTGAACGTCTCCACTTGGTGGTTGAGTTCTGAGCTGGAAGTGGAGCCAGCACTGGGCAGACCTCCATGGCTGTTATTCACGCTGGCAGCATCCTCAGCGTGGGCTCCACTTTGCTGTAACACACAGACAAACACACACACGAAAGACATCAAGAAAGGAAGCACGGACTCTCTGGAGACACACAGCACAAAAATAAGGTGAAACCAGAAAATAGGAGAAGTGTGCTTTTCAACAGCCTGGTTTTAAAAAAAACACAGTGGACTCAGAAACCATTTTATATGCATTCACATAAAATAGAATTTAAAGGGAATAGCAAACACTATTTTTCAATATTCAATATTCAATTATATTACTATGGCTTATTTATTACATATTGTTGTTTAATAGATAAAGAAAGAAGGAGGAAAAATGAAAACAATTCTTATTTTTTACTCCTTGAGGTCAATGTTTAAATGTATTTTTCTAAACACTATTTCAATATGAATAAAATATCATTATTTGCTTCATTTAAATGTTTTATTTTATAGCTATTTATACATATTTTTAACATATACTGTATAAATGTTCTGATATTTGACAGCAGAAAACCTTTATCCTTTGGACAGGATTTTAATACAGAATTATAACCAGTATTCTTGACTAAAAAGAGACAAACCTTACAGAAATCTCTTTCCCCACATATTTGTATTTATGTGACATTTCAGTCTGTGTTTTAATTCACTGTAACCACAGCAGGGACAAGGTCGTCCCAGTCTAAATTCGGACAAATCCCTGCGTCCTGTCACATTTCTCTTTCTTTTATTTCTTCCACATCCACTATATATACACTCAGCTCCCACCGTCTTCCACCACTTAGTTCCAGCTATTTGATTTCCCCACAGAGAAACGGGGAGGGTCTCTTCCCGTTTTTTTATAATGGAATGCAAAGTTCAGTCAATGCTGGCCTCTGTTAACCCCGACTCCCCCAGACTCCTCCCCACCCTAAGTGCTAAGCTAATCTTTGCTGTGCTCTCAACAGGTGTCCAAACAAATCTTTGTCTGAAGGAGTAGGGTTAGGGGGGAAGCGGGGTTCTAGCAAAAAAAAAAAAAAAAAAGAAGGCCTGCCATTTTCACGGCTGGACCTGATTATCATACAGCTGAGGAGCTGTGTTTGGGTGGAGGCCGCGGGTTCAGGCACACGTTTCCAATGACTCACATATCCTTGGTTTTTAGAAAGAAGTGATGAAAAAAGAGGAGGACGTGGGCTAAGGGTGGGCTGTCTGTCAGGGTAAAAAAAAAGCCTGAGGCTGAGCTGGGAGCCCTCATGGGGGACCTCCTCTCTCTCCACACAGGAAGTGCAGTGTTAGAGCAGACACAGTATGTTCAGTCTCAGAGCCGCAGTCAGTCAGTCAGTCAGCATCACTTCCACTAACTTCCAGCTCTGCTTCTAACAAATACATCACACTGAGCCCTTCTGACAACCGCAGAAAAAAACCCTGTAAGTCCACAAAACCAGTGGCTCTGAAAGATCCTGGAGCTTCTACGTCAACGTCTAAACAACCAGAGACAGAAAACACCCACGGAAAATACACGGAAAAAACGAAACAATAAAAGAGCAGACATAAAAACAAGAAGATAAGGAACAAAAACAGATACGGCTCAACTTTAAGGATCATGAAAACAACAGAGGAATTTGGAAGAGATGAATTTGGGGTAAAAAAAAAAAGAGTAAAAGTTAACGTTCACTGCAGTGTTTTCTTTTAGTACAAGAAAGTAAACAACAGCAAATAGTCCTTACTACAGCTAAAAAAATATATTCTTAATACATATTCCAAATAAACAAAACAAAAACAAAATCAAAAAACAAACAAAACTGAACAGAGGCATGTCCAGCAGATTTTTCATTTGTGGATTTATACTTTACTTCAATTTAATGCGCAAGAATTTTGACCAATCATGCCAAATGTGAGAACTTAACAGTTCACTAATATATTTATGCCATCTTAAAAGTTTCCGTTTTACATTAAAAATTAAATCTATATATATATATATATATATATATATAATATAGAAATATATCTTACAATATAATAATTCTCACTGGTCTCACAAATTCTGATTTCTGTATTTATATAGTTAGTCACTCTTTTTATTTTTGTGACTTTAAAAGGGCAAAAACATGTTTGTTATGTTAGGATTATTGTGGGAGCAAAAAAATGTGGGTATATTTAAATTGGTATCAAATATAGTTACTGACTGATTTAGTTGTTAATGACTGACTAATCTCTAAAACCAGAGTGCAGTAGATGTGAATGTACAAAGACGATCAACAAAGAAAACACACTGTACACAATCACAACAACCAGGGTTGAATGCTGTGATGTATTGCATTACACACACAATCACAGGAGTATTAGGTTCATCGCCTACAATAATAATAGTGGTTTTAAGTGTGAAATTACAGCAGGTAATAATGGTGGTGTATCCAGCAGTGATTTTTTGGATTATCTCTTGTATTTGACCAACATTATTTCCCAACTCTTGTGAATTACAGTTGGACGAGCTGCGTCGTTTTAATTACCACAGAGCAGATGTGTTCAAATGTCGGGGCTGTTGAGAATAAAATGCCTGGGATGGAGGACGGGTGAGCACATTGTGATTTATATGAAGACCTGCATTCCCCAGTGTCTCAGGAGACTCTGACTTCAACTCAACACACAAACACTTCCTTCTCTGAAGCACAACTTTCACTCCACTCCGCCTGTTTTTCTCATTTCTCTCTCACCCTTGCGTATAAAGCTGCTCTCTCGAGGAGGGTGAGCCTACGGCCAGCCATTACACTTATGGAAAATATGTCAGGCTGCATTTAACTGTTCATCTGTGGAAAACCTCTTGTTTTTACACACATGGCAGAGAACCTGTTTCTAACAGGTGGAGTTGAAAGAGGGAGAAAAAAAAACTTCAAAATGGTTTAATTGGCTTTTTGATCAATTCTCAAACCACAGAAAACTTCAAATATTAATAGTTATGAAGTTGTTGTTTTTTTTTACCATCGCTGCTGTCCGACTTGGAACCAATGCAGAGGCAGGGAAGTTGGCTCCAATGGCTGCTATTGGCCCATTTTGTGCCTGTCCCAGCAGACTGTGGATGTCGCTGGGCAGACTGGTGGTGGAGCCCACTGCGTGGTTCCTCAGAACAAGGATTGCATCATCCAGTCTGTCCAGACGATCTTCCATTCGAGACTGGGAGGACCAGAGAAATCGAAGTGAAAAAAGAAAGAGAACAGAGCAGCTCAGTGAAAGAACAGACACCACCTCTAAAACAATGATTGTCTGATGTGAGTAAATTAAATACATTTTAAAAGGAACTTTAACAGAACATTTCTAATGTAACTTAAGCCACAATGATAACTGTAGGCAGGAACAGTTAAAAAAGAAAATCAAAAGACGACAGTGTGATTAAAGAAAGATGCATTTGTGAAATGCACGTTGAATTTGCAAGACGAAACAAAATGAGAGATGCAGTGACGCATGAGACATGGTCGTGATTAAGGATTTTAATTTATCGAGTACCTCGCAGACATCCTTTAAGAAAGACATGGCATCCTGGAGATGCTCATGTAACTGCTGCTGAACTCGGTTTTTCTGGCAAATGAAAGAGCATCATGGGAAAAAAAGGTCAGTGTTCTAAGAGGACAGACATTACAATGTGGGAGACTAAAATGTTTTCTAGAGGCTTGTGCATGGCCAAAAAACAAGTAATCAGACATTTCTGTTGGTTCAAAAAAATCCAAGTGCAAGTACTGCAGATATTTCATGTTTAAAATATGTTCTATTTTAGGCGCTTTTTTGTTGCTGCATTCTTTCACACAGAGATGAATCCATGATATTCATCAGGTAGCCTTCCATATGAAAGCTGATCTGTAGCTGTTGGTGCATGTAGCAAAGGAATCCCAGAAGATGGGGTTCAGCAAACAGCTGTCACCGCCACAGCCCAACATTACTTAACCCTTCCCCCAACTGTCATCTCCATCTTGGCCCACAGAGCAGTGGACAGATGGCAAGGCCCAGGGGACAGGTATTGTTCAGTTTGGTTATTCCTCTACCCCCCCCCCCGCTCCCTCACCTCCCACTGCAAAACATTTGTCAGACAGGAATCTGGCTTTAATGCCAGCCCAATCCCTCACGAGTAACATATCCAAAGCGAGCATCCATCAAACCCTGTGATCACTGGATGACAGAGAGGGAAAACAAGCTTACCAGAGAGTGAAGGGAGTTTTCGTAATTCGGGGAAGAGGGCGTCTGTCCCCCAGCACGAGGCCACTGGTTATTGCCTAAGACAAGACAACAAAGAGAGAGAGACAACAGCGGTTAACTTTATAAATCCCCCTTTTCAGCAGTACATCAAAGCCAGTGAGAGCTGCATCCTGCCCAACTGTGTGATAACCATACAACACAAAGTGACAGTGAAAATGACAGTCAGTCGCCATACACTGACATCTCTCATTTCTAGTTTCTTGCTGTTCCCTGTGATATATTTTTATCTTTAAGGCCCAGTTTCATTACTTCCTGACGGCTGGACAGTATCCTGATGCGTGCGCCAGAGGAAAGTTCATCCAACGGTGTGCAGATGTACGCTGCATCTGTACAGTGTGGACGAGAACCTCTGAGTCTCCGAAACAGAAGTTAGAAATCCCTGTTCCTAGACGTGCAAGAGAAATCAAATCGCTTCTTAAAATGTTTTTGGGTTCTTCAAACTGGGTTCTGATTCCAAACAGTAATCGTGGTAAATGAGGAGCAACAGAAGTCTAAAGGGTTAAACAAGTGTCACTCTGGACAGTTTGCCACATCAGAAGAGCAACAGGTTTGGATACAAGGAGCATCTACCAAACCTGTGTATGAAAAGACAGCTTGTAGCTGAATTCACTTTGTGCTATACTTTGCAGGGGACAGTCTTCCCATGGTAACAGAGGGAATATTAGAAGACTGTCACCCTCTAGATTTAATTAATAATTCATTATATTATTTTATGGGTTGAAGATGATCGTAACCCATTGCCTCTGTCACAACAGTGTTGTGGAACTGACCTGTTCCAAAAATACCTTATGTTTATTGAATAACGCCAAGATGCCTAATAAATTCTGGTTGAATTGTTTCAGTTTCATTGTGCTTTTAAAAAGTAAGTGTACAAATTTGGAGGAAAACAGGATTTTATTCCTGGAATCCAATGTGGAAAAATCAGAATAAACAAACTTAACCCAGAGAAATTTTGGACACCAAAGATTAACATTACCATTCTTCCTGACAGGAAAAGCTTACACTGGATTGAATATATTAACACGCGCCAAAAAAGTTTATCTACATGAAAGCAAATCAAGTTGATTGGATCTGGTGTAAATTACAGCGAAGGATAAGGAATCCACATCTGTTTATCACATTTGCCACTCCAGCACATTTCTTTTTTCCCCTCCTTCTAGAGCGCAATCGTTCCACCAACCTGCCTGTGGTGTAAAACAGGAGACATGGTATTAGACTATCAAGTCACCCCGATGAAACTAAACAATGATGAACGCTTCAGTGTTATTTACAGGATAGAGTGTCTGCATCGCTTTCTATCACACAACACTCTCTGTTCCTCTGGCCTACATTATGATGGACTGAAGCCAAACACTGTCCACGTATTAATGAACAGAATGCACTCTATGACAGATTCTAGCAGGACAGGAAACCTCTGTCACGGTTGTATACCTTTAAGTTACATTTTCAAATCTCTAGAAACATGCACACAGATCAAGTTTTATTCATTCCCTAATTCACACACATTTGAAGACCGACAGTACAGACGACAGGAAAGCATCAAGAGCTGACTCTGACATAAGACTGACGCAAAAAGATTTCACTTATTGTTCAGTGTTTGTTTACGTCAATCAAGGCCTACGTGATTAATCACGAGCTAT